TGGTGAAAGAGATTACTCATCTCTGGGACGAAGCAAATGAGCCCAAACCAGCTGAGCACATGTTTCAGATCTTACAGCAGAAGTCAACTGGGTGTAAGCATCCTAGTTTTGACGACCTTTTCCAGACGTCGACGAAAGATTACGCAGCGCTGAAACAACTGGAAAAAAGTTTTCACGATCAAAGGGACGAAAGATTAAAATTAGAGGAGGACTGTGAAAAGTCCAGAGCTGTAATCAGTGAACTTAATCAGAAACTGGGTCATTACAAAGCCCAGGCCAAGCCCTACAGCAAATACATACTGGAGTTAGATTTCCAGGTAAAAGAGAAAGACAATCTGTGTAAAAATCTCCAGAAGAGAATACGACGGGAATCCCAGTTGCTGAGACTCCGGTTTGATCAGAAAGAGAAAAACTCGCAGAACAAGGACAAAGTTTACAAGAAGCTGAAGACAGAAATGAGTGAATTAGAAGCAGGTCTGGATTATTACCAGAGTAATGCGGAGACCTTAAAACAAACGATTGAGACTTTAAAAACTCAGCTGCAAGAGAAACAATCTCTGGCTGAAAACCTGCAGAGTGCTTTAAAACTGAAGACAGAGCTGAGACTAGAGTTTGAACAGGAACAGCAGAACAAAGACGTGCTGAACGAGGATTTGCAGAAACAGATTAGAGAGCTAAAGGAAATAAACCAGCATCTCGCTGACAAACTGGAGAATCTTTCCTCCAGGACCACCGAGCTAAACGAGAAGCTTTGTGAGGAGCCGGAGGTCTTTACACACCAGCCGCTAGCAGAAGCTGTTCCCTCTGAACCACAAACAGCTGTGGAAGCTCTGGAGACACCTTCTGACCAGGACTGTCAGACAACAAAAGATGTTTGTGCTCCGACTGAAATCTACGAGGAAAGGTTGGAATCAGTGGACGCAGACAGAATTCTCCATGAAAACGAGTCTCCCCCCAAAGACGGCGTTCCACAAGCAGCCAGACAAAACCAGCAGAACATTTCAATGTGGAGACGCTTCAAAAAGTGTATTACTCCGGCGTGTCTACGGAGACATAACATTAGGCCATAACCAGGGGTGGCGTTAGGCCCAGCTACTTGGGCTCAAGCCCCGAATGTTTTATGAAAAGACTAGTGCGTGTTACGTGTGTGTGTTAAGCCCCGGATCTTCTTCAGTCCTAAATCCGCCCCTGGCCATTACTAAATCATCTGACTGCTGGACCAGGTATGTTAGTTCATTATTTCTGCAAGACATTAGCTTTAGCATTAGCATCAGCAAATTAGACATCTCCACATCAGCTATGGGTTAGTTTACTCCTGGTGTTCTGCCCCCCATCACCTCCACCACAAATACACATTTAGGTTAATTAGAAACTGCCCCTGGATGTGAGCGAGTGAATAACTAATCTTAGATGCAACACCCCCTCACAGAAAACTCAAGCACACCAGAAAAAAATGGGGCTTCATGATGGAGAAGCAGTTCTCCTTCATGCAGGCGTGGGTTTACTCCGGGCGCTCCGGTTCCCCCCACACACACACGTTAGGTGAATTAGTGGCCCTATCGTGTCTCTGGGTGTGAGTGAGTGAATAACTGATGTACATAAAAAAGTTCTTGAAGAAACTCTGATGGGGGCTGCTTGCAGTAGCATCTCTCACAGAAAAATCCTTCAGACATTTCAGCCGTTATACCTTCCTGGAGGCGGCCATCAGATCAACTACTGAACATTCTCCCTCTCCTGCTATTATAGTCTGAATCTGTTCAACATAGAGAGTGCTACTTCATCTGTTTATTTGTGCACTCTGCTGGGTTTCCATAGAGAGAAACCCTTTCAATGGCTGGAATAATGAACTGAACTCAATACTCTAATAATCAGTGGTTCAACTGGATGTCATGGTCTGCGTCCTGCGTCTCCCTCATGTGTCGCCCTGTGTTCTCCATCCTTCTCTAGCTTATGTGTCTCCTTGTGTCCTCAGATGTCTCCTTGTCTGCAGCCCCTCCATGTTCTCCCTCCAAGTATCCCCCCAGGTTCTAGCCCCTTTAGTTCTCCAACCCCTCCATGTGTCTCTCTAGAATCCCCCCTCACGTGTACCCAACTTCCTGTGCCCCTTCTGGCCTCCAGCTCCCACCAGGTTACCCAGGTTTACTTATTCTTGTTATTCTTTGCATCATCTAGCTTGTCTTTCCCTGTAGTTTTCTTAGGTTCAGGTTTTTTCTTCTAGATTTCTCCTTGGTCCTTCCCCTCTGGTTTATTAGTTCTCTTTTTCTCCTTAGATCTTTAGTTATTTGTCTTTCTAGTCCTTAGGCTTTGTTATTATTCATAGGTCATGTTTTACTTCTCCCTCTCAGCTTAGTTTCCTCTCCCCATTGGTTAATTGATTTCACCAGGTTTCTCTCCCCGCGCACCTGCAGCTCATTCCCCAATCATCCTGACCCAGTGTATAAAGCCCTGTCTGTGTCTGTGTCTAAGGCCCTGTCCACACGTAGCCGGGGATCTGCCAAAACGTAGATATTTTTCTACGTTTTGGCCTGTCGTCCACACGAAAACGGAGTTTTTTCACACGAAAACGGATCTTTTTAAAAACTCCGGCCAAAGTGAAGATCTGCGTTTTCTCCGTTTTGGGCGTCTGCGTGTGGACAGACAAAACTGGAGTTTTAAGGTCCACAACGTCACTTTCCGTGACAAAAAAATGCTGACATCACGTGTGCGACCTGTGTTTACACTAGCCGACAGCATGGATGCCCTCGGAGCTGCGCTCGCTTTATCAATTGTCCAAGCGCTCTTTGCTTGTTTGTTTTTGCAAGCGGAATTACTGCTCCTTGTGGAAGACCACAGACGAAGGACGAGGTTAAGAACGGGGGAAGTACTGCCGCCTACAGGTCTGGCATGGCCTTAACAACATATTTATCCGGGTATGTGTGGACAGAGTTTTTTTTTAAACGAGGTGGTGTGGATGCAAGTTTTTGGAGGGGCGGATATTCGTTTTTAAAAAAACCCGGCCACGTGTGGACTAGGCCTTAGTGTGGTGTTGGTCCATTGTCTTGTCAGCGTTGTCCCCCCCCCCACCCCAGTATTTGGATTTACTCTAGGTCTCTTGTGGTTTTTGGATATTACTAGAATTGATTTTTTTTGGCCTCCAGCCCTTTTGGGTTACCCCAAATAAAGGATTTTACGTTTTAACTACTCCTGCCTTGTGTCATCCTGGGTCTGCATCTTGGGTCCTAACCTTCCTCCAACCTCATACCCTGACACTGGAACGTTGACTTTGTAAAGTGCCTTGAGACGACTGTTGTTGTGAATCGGCTCTGTAGAAATGAACAGAACTGAATTGTGGGGAGCAGACAGACACGTTGTAGCGTCACGAAGGTCCTCTAGTTTGTGACAAAGGTCACATTTTCCCAGCTAGGTCAAGCTGGGTCGACTGTAACTTTGCCCCACAGATTAATCATGCAAGGAGCCATGATGTCTACTGAATATCATCTTTATCTGCTGCTGTTCCGTCCCAGAAGAAGGACACTTCAAGTTTCACAATAAAATTTTTAGATAATAATAGCAATAAACTCTTTGACTTTATTACTGTTATTACAAACATCATAATTAATCTCTTGGTTCAGTATAAATGTATTTTAATTACTGAAATGAATTATTATGCTTCGGGTATAATAATAATGATTATTATGATAATCGGTTATGTGTGTTCAGCAAACCAGAAGGTCATCTCGCACGTAACCAGCCTCATTCAGAAGAGATATCCAGGGTAAGGGTAACATCGTCACATGTCTTTTACTTATGAGCAAGCTTTCTGAGGCTGAGAGTGGGCGTGTTCTGAGGGTTTTGTTAAAACTAAAATCTGCAGCTGTAACTTCAGTTCGTGAACCAACCACCATCCTGAGGATAAGGGAACGGCTGCCCTGAACCTCCACCTGTTGTTCTGTCACGCCGATGGAATAGCTTCGAATAAACGCACCTGTAACCAGCTGACGCAAAACTCCTAAAGAGTTATTGACTTTGAGTTAAGTAAGACGCAAAACTCCTTCAGAGTTAAGCCAGACGCTTGAGACTGTGTACCCTGCGACATCTCTGGACCAGAGGATCGGTTCTACTCGCGTCTTCTCTACCGGATCGAGTACCCTGAGGCTGACAACATCCTCCTTGACCTCCGGATTCACACAGAGGGTCGCCTGAATGGGTGAGGTAGCACACAGATTGTGTTTGATGCTGTGCTCTCTAAGTAACAACCAAGTTAGCTGCAAAACCATCATTTCCAACCCAGAACAAGTTCCTCTCTCTGAAAGGAACCTTCTGAGAATCCATTCACGCATCCAAGCTCTCATTTCATTTTAGCTTTCCATCCAGACACAGGTAAAGCTTTTGATACCAAGTTTAATATCAAAGCTGGTAAATTGTCATCCATGAATTGTCATTTTTAATTGTCATTTCTGAATTGTCGTTTCAAATTGTCAAGTTTAAAATTGTTAGTAATAAATTCTTTATTTTTAAACTCTGCCTCATCTTTGAAATGAAACACAGAATGGTGTGTATTTCTGGTTATTGAAAAAGCAAAGATTCCTTTAACTTCTGATAAAAAAAATAACTTTTGCTATTAAATTTAATTATCTTAAATTAAACATTAATCTTTGGATTAAATATAGACCAAGCAGGTTGGTGTATGAACTTCTATCGATTGTACAAGTATCCTGGATTTGTATACATGATATAAGCTTCATATGCTAATTGGCTTGATCATTCTCAGAATCTAAAAACTGATAGCAAACAGTGTTGATTCTAGTATGTAGTTTACACGCTACAACGTAGAGCCAGGCTTTGACAGCTGGAAATGTGAAACAAATCTAGAAACGATAAACAAACAAAGTTAAGTGAGTTTGAAAACTTGAAATAAACAAAACGGACACAGAAAGATGGAGGAATGCTTCTACGTTTTGTTGATGAGGCGTCGCCGCCACCGTCATTTCAAGGTTAGGAGAGTGTGGGTACGGTGGCTGGAGAAAAGGGCCAGGCAAGGTGTTTATGCGGTCTGCTCCCAGAGATGCAGCTTGAAAAGCCAGACTGCTTCTGACAGCACCGCCGCCTGGATCCTGGATCCTTCCGGAGGGCAGTGGAAACAAAGGGCCCATCGATCTGCAGGGTACCGCTTTGTGTATTTTTCTGACAGACAGGGCAGGGGGCTGCACCTGAATTCATCTTGGGGTCATGTGAGCGGAGAACTCGCTTTGATTGGCCACTAGAATATTTCAGCTCAGCCAGCAGCTGAGTATTAGTGGTGCACACGACGAGTTTTAACCCCTTCGTGAGGGAAAATATTAAACAGTCTGATGAGGCAGAAAATTCAGTGAAAATCAAGCAACTTGGAGGCGCTAAAAGCAAACCAAATCTGCAAAGTTTCAGGATGAGAAACAATGGAGCCAATTGTGGCATTTTTTTTTCTTAAACAGAGACTTGATTATCAACATGAAACTTGAGTCACGTTTTCACCATCGACATACATATATGGACAATTGGTTTCCATAGACTCCAATACCACGTTTTTGAAGAGAAATGGGAAGTGGCTTTGAGCAAGTTTTCAATATTTTTAACATACCGTATTTTCTGGACTATAAGTCACTCCGGAGTATAAGTTGCACCAGCCATAAAAAGTATAATGAAGAAAAAAAAACATATATAAGTCGCATTTTGGGGGGAAATTTTATTATTTTTCTTACAAAATCTGAGTCCAAGCGTTTCACATTGCAAAACAAGTACCGGTAACAATAACAGAATAAACAACATGGCGCAGCAGGCGCCTTTGGCTGTGTCTCAATTCAGGGTCTGCATCCTACGTCGGCCAGATTCGTCGGCCGGTTACGTCACAGCGCCGCGACTAAGCCTGTCCCAATTCGAAGACTCCTTCAAATGCGGTCGACGAATGCGGCCTTCTTTTCGCCCCTCTGAAGGTACGGGACTCTGTTGGAGCTCGGAGAGAAGCGTAAGGACATGCTGGAGAAGAGCTGCAAGAAGTTCATGTTGTTCCGCAAAGCCAACGAGCTGCAGCAGTGGATCAACGAGAAGGAGGGCGCCCTGACCAACGAGGAGGTCGGCTCGGACCTGAAGCAGGTCGAGGTCTTGCAGAAGAAGTTTGACGACTTCCAGAAGGTCGGACTTTTCCTCCTCTCCGTCTTCCAGCAGCAGCTGTCAGATCAGCTCAGGTGATAATCAGCAGGTGCTTTTGTCCTGCAGGACCTGAAGGCCAGCGAGTCCCGCCTGAGGGACATCAACAAGGTGGCATCTGAACTGGAGTCAGAAGGTCTGATGGCTGAGGAGGCTCCTATGGTTCAGGCTCAGGTGAGCGTCACCTGTCTGCAGCAGCTGGTCCCTCTCACTTCCTGGTTTGTTAACTCTGCTCGTCTCTGTTTGTAGCAACAAGAACATCTGGGTTCTGCTCCTGGAAAGGTGCGTGTTGTCCTCCGCCTCCACCAGAACCAGACGTGGTGTTTTTGTTACCACTCATTTGTTTGTTTGTTTGTTTACAGGATGAAGCTGACTCTAAGACGGCATCACCCTGGAAGGTGAGTTCATTCAGCTGATCAGAGGTCACCTCTGATGGCCGCAGTCACGGCCGACCGTGCTGAAATCACACAGGAATTCAGGTGACCCGGCAGGCACCAGGTGCTGGTGAAAGTGGGGACATGTCAGCTGGTTGCCATGGCTACAGTTATTTTTATGCATCTGTATGACTGCTGACTGGTGTGTGTTTCCTGTGATCTTTGACCTCAGACCGTACGGTTGGGCGTTCAGACGACGGCTAACTTTAATTCCATCAAGGTAAGAGGAAGCTCTTCCCTTCCTGTCTGAGCGATCCGTCTCCAGGTTTCCTCGTCCGGCGTCCAGCCCGCTGGCGTCCACCTTCATCTCACTGGGTTTGGTTTCTCTCCAGGAGCTGAACAACCGCTGGCGCTCGCTGCAACAGCTGGCTGAAGACCGGAGCAACATGCTGGGCAGCGCCCATGAGGTGCAGCGCTTCCACAGGTACCCCGCACACTTATGCGCCGCTTACAGGTCAGTAGAGTTTGGACCCACACTCAGACGGAGTTCTGATGTCTTCTCAGAGACGTTGATGAGACCAAAGAGTGGATCGAGGAGAAGAACCAGGCCCTGAACACAGACAACTACGGCCACGACCTGGCCAGCGTTCAGGCTCTGCAGCTTAAACATGAAGGCTTTGAGCGTGACCTGGCAGCTCTGGGTGATAAGGTCCGCTTCCTGATCGGTACCAGGACCCGGGTTGTCTCTGGAGACACGTTCTTCATGGTTCTGGTGACTCCACAGGTGAAGTCTCTGGGAGAGACAGCAGAACGCCTGATCCAGTCCCACCCTGAGGCTGTGGATGACATCCAGGAGAAATGCACAGAGCTGAACACGGCCTGGAGCAGCCTGGTGGGTCGGGCCGACCAGCGCAAGGAGAAGCTGGGGAACTCTCACGACCTGCAGCGCTTCCTGTCAGACTTCAGGTGAGCTGGAGGCGGAGCCTGGACTGGGTTCAGTCCAGGAGTGGTTCCTGACTAGCTGTGGTTCTTCACAGGGACCTGATGTCATGGATTAACGGAATCCGGGGCTTGGTGTCCTCCGATGAGCTGGCCAAAGATGTGACGGGAGCTGAGGCTCTTTTAGAACGCCATCAGGTTTCTGCCCGGTTCTGTAGACCGCTTCCGATGCAACCGGATCACTTCCTCTGACTCTCTCTTCCTCCTGCAGGAACACCGGACGGAGATCGACGCTCGGGTTGGGACCTTCCAGGCCTTCGAGCAGTTTGGCCAGCAGCTGCTTGCTCGAGGGCACTACGCCAGTCCTGAGATCCAGCAGAAGCTGGAGGCTCTGGACCGCGAGCGGGCAGACCTGGAGAAGGCTTGGGTCCAGCGGCGCATGATGTTGGATCAGTGCCTGGAGCTTCAGGTGGGATTACGCACGCACACACACAAATACACACACACACACACACACGTACACATACACACACAAATACACACACACACGTACACATACACACACAAATACACACACACACGTACACATACACACACAAATACACACACACACACGTACGTACACACACACACACACACACACACACACACACACACATGCATGCATGCACGCAAGCACATTCACTCACTCACACACACACACACACACAGACACACACACACACACACAGTGATCTGGTGTACCAGTGTGTTCATGAAACCAAAGAAGTCCAATTGCCTTCTTTAAAAATCCTTTTGATGTCATACTGAACAACTGTTGTATTTGATTCTAATTTTAATGATTCTGTTTCAGGTGGAAATGCTGTGTGATTCCTGTGTCCTGTGGCCCATGACCTGTGTCAGCCTTGCTGAGTTCTCTGTAGCAAGGATTTCTGGTGTTTGTGGCCGTTCCAGAGTGCACCTGATCCGGTCTAACACTTCACATCCCAGCACACGCACAAACACATGCTTGTTGATGTTTGTTGTTCATGATGTTTGTGGTTCATGGTTTACATGTTTATAGTTGTTCATCCCACGTTTTCTTGATGACTCTTAGAAATGTTTCTTCACAGGTGCAGCTGCTGGTTGCTGTTTTTATGTTGGTTTGCTAGTTGTATTAATTTTTCTCTTATTTACTTGTTTATCCTCTATCAGCAGTCTTTATTCCAGATTGGTTCAGCATTTACATGCTGATGCGGCGATACATAACCCAAACCAATATTACTCAAGGGGAACCTCGTACACATTAAGGCTCCTTGTCATGAGCCGGGGTGAGTACTCCTGTTCTCTTAACCATCTGTGAGTCTCTTGCCAGGAGAGGGAGTGGCCCAGCTGTTCCTGATCAGCAATCAGCGGGGTGCTTTCCTATTTAAGGTGGATGGTGGACACAATTCGACGCTAGAAGATTGCCTCAGTTTTGGTAGTAACCAGCCACTCGTGTTACCTCTAGTGTTCCTAGGATTAATGTTATTTCGTAGCGTTTTTGCTCTTATATTGGATTTACCATTCTTCAGGATTCCTGTCGACCTCATTGGATACTGACCTCTACTCCAGGATTCTGATATTCAGCACACGGACCTTATCACCACCCTCCATAACCCACCTCTCATCTCACCCAGTGCCCCATCCACCAGGATGCCCCGCTTCTCTCCACCTCTGCTCCCTCTCCTGCGCTTCCCCCGGCTCTCTACCTCTCCCTCCTCCAGCCAACACATACACCCCCCCCCCCACAGTAAGTCTGCTGAACACCTCTGCCTGCCTACAATGGATTTTAAAACCAGAACTGAGGTGGGAAGAGTACTAAAATGTTGTACTTAAGTACAAGTATAATTACTTTCATGAAATTTTACTCAATTACAAGTAAAATTACCTGCCTCAAAATGTACTCAAGTAAAAGTAAAAAGTAGCTTATTTCAAATGTAGTCAGAGTAAAAGTTACTTAGTTACTTTTTTGACTGTGCAAGGACGGGCTCTTCTGAATAGTTAAAAAAAGACAATGGGGTATAACTGTCAAAGTGGCCGTTTTTTTAATTAAATGAACAAATATGCATATTGAAGTACAAAGGCAGTTACACTGCAAACAAGTAACATAAATTAGGTTATAGTCACAGGCCCATGACTTTTCCCTGAATGCTTATTTAGAGCAGCTGATTTTTAAAGTTAGCAGAGTTCATCTTTGGTAGTGGGTTCACTCACTCATTTAAAGATATTGGCCAGAGGCAAAATTCATTTGAACAGCATGTGTAAATGTGTATTAAAATCTCAGATGAAAAAGGTTTTTGGATTTTGACGGCTGGAATTGTAAGAAAATCTGATGTTTGTGACTGGCGCAGGAAAAACAGAAACTAACTTCCGGTCTAAGCCCTGGGCAGCTGGTGACGTTTCACATGGAGCTCTGCTGAAACCGCTGTAGTAAACAACGCCTGACTCTGCTGTTTCTGCGTTAGCGTTATAGCAGAGAACAATGTGTCATCAGTCAGATGTAGCTTCTGAAGCCTCTACTAGTCTGTCAGATTTGTTTTTTCTCTGGGATACGGCGACGAGAACGGATGTTAGATTACTGGAGAAGTTCAACCGAACTTCGACCCCGCCAGCTGGATATCACTACCAGAGGTGCAGACATGTTTTAGACCATTTGACTCAGAAGACCTGCGACCTGATTTGGACATAGAGGAGGATTCTGTTCATCTTCAGAACCAAAATCGGTACAGTTTGTTTACTTTTCTTAAATATTTCATTTCTGTGCTTCACTGGAAGCTCTAAGCTGGCAAGTTTTCAGCTAGTCTTAGCTCCATCATGTGTCCCATTATAGTTCAGTAATCTACAGTTTTACTGCGGTGTGTATTTATTGACATAACTCTGGAAAATAATGAACCTACAATTTACCAGAATAAATCTTCCTGATGCTGGAGTAACTCCTTAGCTCAACTCGTTGTTTGCACTAATCCAGTACATGTTTATATAGATAATAAAGTGTAGTTATTTTGCATTTCTACAATTTTAATGCTGAGCCAATACCTTTAACCCTTCACCACTGAAATCAGTTTGTTCATTCCAATCCTCCTAAATAATCCTCCAATCATCCAACTGGAATCCTTAAGGGTCCCGTAACGTCCATCCTGTCAGAACAGGCCGTGGGAGCTCAGGTGTTACTAGAACTAATGGTGTCTCCTCACCAGCGTGAGCCTCCAAACTGTGAAGGTTGGTCTCCAAACATGAACTTCAAATTCATGCATTTATCTCCTCTTGTAACACTTTAACATGTTTTAAAAGGCTTGTATCATGATAAGTTACACCTCCCAGACCAAAGATAAGATAAAATATTATCATAGACACTGCAGAGACATCATTGTTTATTAAATATAAGTTATTTTCCTGAGCCATTACTTCAGCCAAGATATAGGATGCATGGATTTGATGAAACCATGCTGTCTTATGCAGTCCTACACACACACACACACACACACACACACACACACACACACACACACACACACTGCAGCATGTTAGAATCATTTGAATGACTAATTTAACTACACTGAACTGCTTTTGTAATAATTGAATCTCTTATTCTGGAGTAAAATAAAGAAACAAGCTAAATCATCACATATCTGTGGCATCAAGGAGCATCTTCTGAGTTCAAACACAGGGATGGAGCACAATGTTTACACCTGAACAGTATCAGGATTAACTCACAGAGGTCTGCAGGTCTTCTGTTTTATGAGCAGAGCGCTGAGAATCCGCTTCTTAGGAGCGCTAAACGTAATTTTGCCGCTTCCGTGCGCGGTAACGAAACACATTTCAAACACGGAACCGAGTCTGGTTGCCGAACCGAGCAGAATTCTGATGACATCACACCGGTGCGCGAAGGTGCGGGTTCCAACCCACAGGAGAGGAGGGAGAGAGGAGGTAAACAACGAGTGGATCACAGGGACTGAGCTGATGTTTTTGAGCAAAACTGCGGTAAAAATGGCTGTTTGTCCTCATCATAAAACGTGTAGCCCCCCCGGTTTAGACGTGGCGCTCATGCAGGTGTCTCTTTCTGTTCCGACGCTGCTACACGTAATATTTTTAATTTATTAAGCCTACAATTTATTTTTACTCAGTAACGGATATGATTTAAAATGTAGCGAATTACAATTCTTTTTTAAAAACTTACTCAAGTAAAAGTAAAAGTACAGATTTTAAAAACGACTTAAAAAGTATAAATTTACAAAAAAGCTACTCAATTACAGTAACGTGAGTAAATGTAATTCGTTACTTTCCACCTCTGACCAGAACCTATGCTCACCTGTGTTCTCCCTCCTCCAGACGCTGAGTTCCAACCACAGACTTATCTGTGCACCTTAAGTTCCTCCTTATAAATAAATCAGTTTTTGGTCAGTGTTGTATTCTGCATGTCTTGGGTTAAGTACCTTCCTCCAAACATGACACTCCTCTTCAAAGAGCAAATCTGTTCAGCACATTCTGACAGACAGACCACCATTCTTCTGTCATGTTGCTGTACAGGACATTTTTAGAGTTTTTCTTTTTAAAGATAAATAGGATTACATTTATAGTGCAATACTTTACCATTATCATTTTCCCACACTTTCTGTATACCTGTATTTTGTTGTTTTTCAATAAAGAATGACAAATTATTTAAGTTTGGTTTTTGTTGCACACAAATATATATCTGTAAAAATATCTACAAAGCTAATGTTTACATAACAAGTATGATTGGGTTTTGCAATACGGCACTCAAGTTTATTTTAGTAAGATTTTCAAACCAAGTAAAGTTAGTAAAGAACACATTTCTATTGTCTGCTAAGAAACTGTTGGGATTTAAAATGTTCCTGTTGTACAAATAACTTGTAAATGATTATTCCTCACTTTTGCCTTAACCAAAGAAATTCCAGTAATTGAGCAAAAACGTTCATTTTTAACACTACATTTTATAAAACAGGGCGCAAAGTGTCGGCACATGTATGTATGTCGATGGTCCGCCCCAACCAAACCAGGAGACACAGACGTCAGGGAGGCCAAGGTTGTCTCCGACGGTCTCTGCAGCTCTCTGGGCACCATGCCTCACGTAGCTGTCTCCAATGACCCAAATGGCTATGGGGGTAAAAATTAACAGGTTTTGCCTAGCTGTTTAAAGTACAAAACCATACATGAAGTGGTCAAGACAGGTATTTGGAACTTGCACTTGCTGCGTTGTGTAGGTGATGTTGGAGACACACAGGCTGCCATGGTGACCTTTTAACAGATCTAAGAAAATAATGTAATAAAAGAATGAAACTTTAAAACTCCCAGACCTCATGTCATATTTACTAATCAGCTATGGCTGATTTATTGTTTGGATCACAGTGAGTTACACTAATTCTAATATATTTTTATTTGTATTATACATACATACTTTTTAACTGTTGTTTTCACATGACTGTTATCAGGCTCTCTTGTTCTGGTTCTGATAATTCTGTGTCTTCCAGTAAGTTATCTTGTGCTTACTTCATCTGTATAATGTCTCTTTACTTTTGGTAAATTGTACTGAGTCCAGAATAAAGGCTAGTTGGCTGTACAAGATACAAACAAGTATTACATTTTGGAAATATATGAAATGAATTTAGGCTGCTAATTTAGCTCGAATACTAATAACTGCAATATTTTCCGGACTATAACTCGCACTTTTTTACATATTCTGGCTGGTCCTGCTACTTATACTCCGGAGCAACTTATATAACAAAATATGTAGGCTACACCGCGCTGCTGCGGGCCGACTCCGACCCACACAAGAATGAGTTCCCCTGTCCCGCTACGAGGGTTTCAAAAACAGCCTTCCTCGACTGGAGAACGTGGCGCGCTGCTGCGAGCCGACTCCGACCCAAGAATGACTTCCCCTGTCCCGCTGGGAGGGTTTCAAACACCTCCAGCATCTGTTAGAGCC